GAAACCTGGTTGAAATTGGTGGTGTAACAGCTGTTCTTTGTTCAGGACAAATATAAAAAGCAAATAAGCTCTCTTTGGAGTAAAATAGGAGCCATTGCCCAAAACATAAGCCACATGCAAGACTGGTCAGGAGCAGAGCTATGTAGATGGAGGGATTGCAGTGGGGTTGAATTCAAACACAAATGGCAGAATACTGTTTTGGTGGAGGTGTGTGTTTATATGTGAGCAGATACAGCTAAAAACATCACAGACGCAGAGAAGGCAGAAGAAAGTCAAGGACAGCTAGAGAAGAGACAAACTTATAATATGCCCAAGAGAAAGGAAAAAGAGAAGTTTTTAAGGAGTTCAGTGCTGGCTGGAAAAAGAGGCTTGGAATAACAAGTAAGGAAATGGTCCCCTCTTGTTTGATTTGCATGCATTATTTGTAAACAAGCAGGACTGCACCAAAGAAATCCCTGACACCATTATCAATTTCTCCTCTCAACAGAAAAAACCTGCAAGACCTTGAATATTGGCTACCAGCTCAAGTCAAAAGAGCATCTAACACTAGCATCTTAACATTAATTTGCAACTTCAGCAGGGAATAAGCTAGATAATTTCTGAAATGCTACTATCGTGTGCCATGAGTTCACAAGCTCTCACACTAAGATGGCTTCAGAATCTGGATGGGGGAACTCCAAAGAAAACAAAGGATATTGCAGTAAATAGTGTGGTGACACCTTTCCTTCTGAACCAATGTTGAATCCATGTCCCAGGGGCACTGAGTGGATGTAGGTGACATCTTTAGAGGTTCTGATCACATATAGTTAAAAGCCCCATATTGCTTTTTTTAAGAGGACAACAGTTCTGGTCAACTTTTTGGTATCAACATTATGCCTCCCCCCATCAGTGTCCTTAGAATAAAAATGTGTTGTGTCATGGTCCAGGCTCAGACATAGTCATATTTCAGTGATGATGGTGAATTAAGCGGTCCTCATAAAGTCTGTTCAGAGCTTCAGGATTCTTTGGGGTTATGGGTGTTAGATAAATGTAAGATTATTAATTTCATTGCTGAACATCAGTATTTTTCTTCTTGTTCTTGCTGCATGATGTGGCTGTGCACTGCTATACACCTGCAGTGTTTCATTACAGTGGTGTCTGAACTTCAGTGGTGGATAAAGTGATATTATATGTTTTCAGTTCATACATCAGTTTGTAAAACTATTTGGGATCGTCAAGGTTGCAAGGTCTATGTAATTCAATTTATTTATTTATTGTTGTTATTGTTGTTGTTATTATACATTTCTTGTGTTTATATATTGGCTAGGCAATACTTTTTTTTTTTTTTTTTTTTTTGCTATGCAAACTAACATTTGCAATTGCAGAGGCTTTTGTAGAATGTGGTTTTTACTGTTTGATTTTCTGCCATCCACTTCTCAGTTTTAATTTGGCAGCAACACGTGGGCTTAATGATATGCCCCAAGGTTAAATAAAAGTGTGAACACAAACCAAAGTATTACTGAGACAGACGCTTTCATTACAGAAGCAGGGGAAGGAAATGTGGTTTGTGGTTAAGGCCTGTGACTCAGAAAACCTGGATTTGACTCCTAACTTTATGAGAACCCTCCTGTGTGACCATGGGATCATTTCTTCTGTCTGTGCTTCAGTTTTTCCATCTGTAAAATGGCAAGAATGCCAAAAACAGGATGGACTGGGAGTCAAATTAGCTGCCACAGATTTCCAATATGTGCACCATATGCATAGGTTTTATGCTGCCAATGCACAGGGGAAAATTTCACCCTTAATCTCTCCTTGCCTTAGCTTCCCAGCCTGAAAATAAAGGTGATAATAATTCCTTATCTCCTTGAGCTGCTGTGAAATTATAAGTACCACTGTGTGGAAGCAGGCTCTTTGCTGGCCAGGCCTCTTGCGCGTATTGCCATCCAAGCAAAAGGTCAACTTCCCCTTGATGAAAACCCTTGCACTATGTAACTTAAAGGTCAGCGACGAACAGGAACCAAAACCAGACCTAAAAAGTTAATGTAAAGTTCGTGCTGGTTGTGCTGATTGTGTCATGCCCGATAAGGCAGAAAAGGAAAAACAGGAAACCATCTCACCCCCTTACCCCCGTCACTTAGCAGACAGGGTCACAAAGAGTGCGCAAAAGCTCTCTATAAAACAGCTTCCCCTCCTGTATCAAATTGAGGAATCCTGAATAAACATTGGATGGCGGAATATGAGCCAGGTCCGAGGACTGATCACCCGAAGGCCACCTCCCGCTCACCGAACCAAACGAGTTCCTGTAGAGCGTAACGTATACCAAACATAACGAATAGCAAATATGTTGTTGTTGTAGTTTGTGTGTCTGTTAAATGTAAGTATTGTTATCTGAAATTGTTTAGAGGTATTGTTAAGTAGTAGTGTTAAAAGTTTTAGGTAAATGATTAGTCTTATAAGTAAGACTGATGTAAATGTAAGTGTTAATTAACCCTAGTCCTTTGTTAACAACTATTGGGATTTAGAGAAACCTCAAAGAATTTTCTCCACTGTATTGCATTTTGCTTATTGGACATTCTAATAATTATTTAGTGCCTACGTATGTAAGAAATTGATAAAATCATAATTTATACGTAGAAGCCCTTTAATAAAAGTTTAAAAGATATTTAGTAATAGTTTGCCTGTTTCTGCGCCTTTCTGGGACTAGCCACATTTCCGAACCTTTTACTTTCAACCACACACTGGAATTCATTTTAAGCAAACTAGGGCATCTCTCTTCCCATCCTCGCTTATTTTGCAGTGGAGTCCCAATGCCAGTCTTGTGACAGCATAACTTCTGTGACTATATACTGTCTATAAATAAGACTGTGACCTCACTAAAGGATCTTGAAAAAAGATGAAGTAAAGCTCTTAAAGGCTTTTATTCAAATCTGTGATTGCAGCCATGTGACCTAGGTCATTCTTGTATAAGGGTTCTCTTTTTCTTCAGATTTAGTCACACAATGTCAAGGAAGTGTATGGTCAGTATAGTCCATTGATGGGCAACCAAGGCTAGTGAATGGGCCAGATGAGTGGCCCTCTGTCATCTCAGTAGGCTGCAAGATTGTTGAAACTAAGATAGATAAAGAGTAGTTTTGCTAATTGCACTTGTGTGCCTAGAATTTGAGGAGTGTGTCAATTGAACTGTAGCAGCACTTTGATGGGATACAAAGGGAGCACACGGCTCTCATAGTCAATGCTGTGCACAATCAGCACGCACCTCACTTCATGTGCCTTTGCTTTATATGTGCATGTCACTTTAGTAATACCGCTAGAGAAAAAACTATGCAGATGGAAACCAGCAGAATCTAGCAACCCTGTGCATGGGCAACGGGAAACAAAATATCTCAAGAGCCACACACAGAACCCTGATGGGCCGCATCTAGTCTGCAGGCCACAGATTGCCTATCACTGGTGTAGTCAAATGAGAAGGTATTGGACTTGGTTGGAGTCAGGAGACTTTGGTTCTAAGTTCAGCTATCTGATCAACCTGATGTGTGACCTTAGGAAAGTCACTTTTCTCGTCTCTGTGCTTTAGTTCCCGATCTGTAAAATATGAATAATGACACTTACCTACCTTGCCATCCAAAGCGCTTTGAGATCTAGGAACAAAAAATGCTGTATTGGAAGTAGCTATTTGATTAGTAAATAATTATAAAGAGGGCTTTAAGGAGACATTATCAGCATAAATACATTGTAGCGGGGTGTTTGTTTCACATTGGGAAGAGAAGGGGTTAAAGCAGGACAGAGGGAGCCGAGCCTACGCAGAACGCTCCAAGTAGAAGAGGGGATGTCGAGCGAGCCAAGTAGGAGATAGCTTGCTGGAGCAGCTAATCGGGGCCCGTGAAGGTCATACATAAAGAGGTTCTCAGCACAGCAGAGGACAGTCTCTCCCTGAAGAACAAGAGAGAAGAACTGGCTGCCTTAGAAACAGCACCACGGACAGAGAAGTGCTGGGCAGGGTCAGAGGAGCAAGAGGGAGCTCCAGCCTGGGGACTACCAGACTGAGGTCTCTGATTCAAAGGACTGAGAAGGTTCTGGTGCTACCAGGAAGTGACCCACAAAAACAGATGGAAGGGGTTGAAGGAGACGCAGCACATGACTGCCACCTGGAGGGTCTCTGGATTGGGTCCCAGAGTAGTTGGCAGGCTTGGTTTCTCCCTCTTTCTCCTCTTTGCACCCACGTGCCAATGAGAAGAGTGGCTACTTCCCAGATTGCAGTTTGCCCCTGAGGCAAGTGGCTGGACTTTAGACAGCAGCTGGTGACTGAGGCAAGTATCTGGACCAAGGACTATCAGTCCCTTAGAAAGGGGAAAGGACTGAGCGGGATACAACCAGAGAGGGCTGTGCCCAGAAGAGGATGCTGTGGTCTGGCGAGCAATGTGAGTGCCAGAGTTGTGGAGATTGCAGAAGTGACAGCGGATAGATGCCACTAGAGGAAGGCACGCTATTGGAGAGCTAATTCCCAGAACAACCAGCAGGAGGTGTTGTAGTGATGAGTCAATGCATCATTACAATATATGTAGTTGGAATAATCCCCTTTTCTGTCTAATGGCACCTTACAAGATTAACAAGTTTTATTAATCTAATTTCCTGGTCAATATTTATGCTGTTATATTCCTTCCTCTCCTCCCCGAAATTCACTCACCTTGGACAATGAAACTAGGCTGATCAGTTGTACTTCTTGATCCTTAGGCACTAGAAAAATATTGTATTTGACTACACTGAAAGTTTATATTAAAGATGATTTGACTGACAAAAGAAATCATGAAAGATTTGTATTCAGGGCTTATTTTTTTTTATTGAAACTTCCTCTTTATTTTTCCCTTCTCCCTTTTTTTAAAAAATATTAATGTAAAACCTGAATGTTGTGCCTATCTTTATTTACAGATTTGGACAGTGTCACTTTCGGGACTTAGTTCCTGATTTTTAGCCAATTTTTAACTGACCCTCTAAATATGGTTCAAACGTCAGTTATCACTTACCTCTCCTCTAGTGCAAGGCACCGCACTTGAATACCTGGAAGTGCACAAAGACCCCTCCTCAATAAGATCATCTTGCAGCCCAAATGTTGCTGTACAGTTGAGAGAAAAATATTTGTAGGGCCTCCACGTCTGTCCATTGTCCTGAGACCTCTCCAGTACCATAGCAGCTGGGCGAGGCGACTTGAACACGACAATGACATGGGTCAAGTAGAACATCGTTTCCAAGTCCAGCATGATTTCTTCCCTGTGTACCCCTTGTGCAGACTGCCACCAGGAGCCAGGATTTAGGAAGAAATCATCTGTCATGTCAGAGGGAAGGTGGGAGTTATCAGGCTGATTGGCATTGCATTTAGTGCATCTGGGCTGCCTACAGCCTTGGGAGGCCCGATGACGGAGGTTCTGGTCTGGGTAGAAGCAATAAAGTTCTGTGCTGTTCTGCCCACATGTGGTAAGAGAGACTGGAATTCTGCCTGTTGCTAGATTCCCCACAGGAGGATTGCAGGAGTGGCCGTCACAACGGAAGGCTTGTAGCTTTACTGGATCTGAAATACAATAGAAAGGAACAAAACTAAACAGAATCTCTCAGGCCACTCTCATTATTAAAAATAGGGAAGGAGATATAAGCTCCTGACAATCTAAACCATTGCAGAGACATGTGACTCTGATCTAAACCACTAAAGAACTGTCAAAACATCAGAACGTTCAGCACCACAAGTGAGGACAGATTTTTGAAAGAGCTCCAGTGTGCCATTCTCTCCAGAAAATTTGACCTAATTGTCACGATATTAGTTTCTGGGTGAATCTGGCCTCATTTTAGATGCCTAAATGGAAAGTGAACTCTTCTGAAGAACTGACCCCAATTGTCAATGCTAAGCACTTGAAAATCCAGCCTTGATTTCTTCTGAAAATGTGACCCCACTTGTCCAGTATTACACATCTGAGTATCTCTTTAATGATAGAAGAGCTTGTGTTATATCACTTTTATTATACCCCAGTGAAGCTAGGCACCTGCAGAACTTGTATAGCTCATGTTTTATATATTATTTGTTTTGCAAAAGCACCTACAGAATCCAATCAGGGATTGAAGTGCTACTGTTCTGGATTCTATACAAACATAAAACAAAAAGATGGCTTCTGCTCCTAAAATTAAGGCCAGCATTTTCGCATAAAGATGCCTAAGATTAGGTTGGTACCTACATCCATATTTAGGTTTTGCCTAAGTAGACTGATTTTCAGATGTTGATTATTAACTTCACCTGGAATTTGGGATTTTAGCAACTCTAAAGAATCAGTTTCCTTGTTTAAGTACCCCAAAACAGTGTCAAAAGATAAACTTCAAGCCACCAGGTTTGCAAATATTGGGCAAAATGTTTAGAAACCAAGTTCTACTATTTATACATTTATTTTGTTACAAACTACAATTAAAATAAATCTAAACCCCCCTAATATTTATACTTTTCATCTTTCTACTTATTATATAAAAATCATCAATACCTTGTGATACTTAACTTATATGTCCCAAGACCTTGTTATCAATCTAAGGAGAATCACCTAGCTAATGACATCCCAGACATTATTCATTTCTTAACAGACCAGAAGAAATTAAAGTCTGATGTTATAAGGTCATAAATCTAATCTGAGGGGAATCACAAGTCATATCTTAGGACTCTATATAAGTCTTACAGGAAATGACTCTTCCAGAGAAACTTGGAATGACCTGAAATCCTTGTTAGTCTAGGAACAGTCCAAAAATCAATGTTTATAATAGATTTAGCAAATTATTGGCCAAACTCTGAAATCCTTATTTAGCTTTTATGCTGTCCTTACTTGGGCAAAACATTCCTTGGCTTAAAAGTCAAGTCAGATCTGAGAAAATGTGAGGATTTTGCCCTATAAAATGATGGAAATTATACTTTATGGTTCAATGCTTATGGAGAAAAAAAATGAACCCAGCCCATGTGGTTTTGTTCCTTGTGTAGTCCTCTTACTAAAGGGGCCTCTGTTTTATTCTGAAAAGACCCTGTGTGCTACAATCCAGACTACAATTCCCATGAGCCCTTGGGAGAAATAGGAAGGAAGGACTCTGGTGTGAGAGAAGACTGGCTCTCTCCATGTGCTTGAAGAAAGAGGTCTAGCAGTCTGGGACTCTGTCTTGGAGTTTGGAACCAAAGGGGAGCCAGGCTGCTGCCAAGGACATTGATCCAGTCCAGGGGCTGTTGGGAGTGCAGCTACAGACTGGACTAGATGCCTGTTGGAACTGGGAGTTAGCAGGCTGCTTCCAATAGGCACAGCATGAGGCAGTAAATTTTGGGTCTTGTTGGGAAAGTGCTGCCTGGGACAGAGCTGCTGTTTAGCCTGGACCAAATCTCCACGACAGCTGCAACATCAGCGCGCCAACACAAGCAAGAGTCTGGGACTCTGAATCCAGGGGTGTGCACACTCTGGGGTGGGGTCACTGTTGTCTAGCTATATAAGCTTCAATTATTGTTATGTGTTTTGTTAATGCTGTTCATTGCTAATCTGTTAATCCCTGTTTATTTAAGTAAAGATGGTTTATTTTAAAGTATTCTATTAGATGTATATGATTTGTAGTTGTTCTGGAATTAGATCCAGATTTATGTTGGAATGAGTATATTCCTGGAGGCTCTCAAAGCACACCAGTGTGTGTACAAGGCCAGCCAGGTGGAGGCACTGCCATTTTACATTCACTGCCAGCAAGGGACTGCAGCAAGGGGGTGGATAGGGCTTTCCCCAACTAAACACCATCACCACTGGGGTGCTCAGGATCTCTTTTGGGGTAAAACACCAGGCGCCCAGGCACACCTGTGAGTGTGACCTGCTCCCCAGTAACCCGGGGAGGAAAAAGGGGGTTACACTTGTTTCTCTTCTGTCCTTCATTTTGAGATAAATGGTAGCTTTTATGCTGCAGATTTCAGGAGTGAGTGGCAAGGGTTTCCAGTGGTCCAAGAGAAGAACCAGGCAGATTGTGTCTCAGACACTCAGGCAGGAAACAATCTGTTTGGGGCTGCGTTATGGACATGTGCAATATGTTCCAGTGCTCCCCACAAAGCAGCTAGTTGTATTATGAAGACCAGTGCAAAAAGGGGGTGAAGCCAAGGCTCAGTCGTGCCTCAGAAATCTTCTCTTTGCAGGGTGGAGAAGCAGGAACGAGCCTCCCTGCACAGGCCTCCAACACTGAATTGTTAAGCCAGGATTTCTCAGGACCGTGCCCTTTGCACCTTTTGTCCCATTGTGTATCACAGACTAAAATGTAGGAATCAGAAGCACCATGCTATCAATCTGGCAGCTTAAAGATGGTGTAAATCAACTTAAAAATTGAAAAATGTTTTAAAGATATGTGTATCAATAGAGCTCCACAGCCTGATGATAATAGTCTTCAAACTAATACTGGCGAGGAGTCCTGTGAAACCTTATAGACTAACTGAAGTGTTGGAGCATAAGCTTTCGTGGGCAAAGACCCACTTCATCAGATGCAACTGACGAAGTGGGTCTTTGCCCACGAAAGCTTATGCTCCTACACTTCAGTTAGTCTATAAGGTGCCACAGGACTCCTCGTCGCTTCTATTAAGTTTGCAGATGATACCAAGCTAGGAGGGGTTGCAACTGCTTTGGAGGACAGGGTCATAATTCAAAATGATCTGGACAAATTGGAGAAATGGTTTGAGGTAAACAGGAAGTTTGAAGTTTAATAAGGACAAATGCAAAGCGCTCCACTTAGAAAGGAACAAACAGTTTCACACATACAGAATGGGAAGCAACTGTCTAGGAAGGAGTACAGCAGAAAAGGATCTAGGTGTTAGAATGGACCACAAGCTAAATATAAGTCAACAGTGTGACATTGTTGAGAAAAAAGCAAACATGATTCTAGGATGCATTAACAGGTGTGTTGTGAGAAAGACACAAGAAGTCATTCTTCTGCTCTACTCTGCACTGATTAGGCCTCAGTTGGAGTATTGTGTCCAGTTCTGGGCACCTCTTTTCAAGAAAGATGTGGAGAAATTGGAGAAGGACCAGAGAAGAGCAACAAGAATGATTAAAGGTCTAGAGAACATGATCTATGAAGGAAGACTGAAAGAACTGGGTTTGTTTACTTTGGAAAAGAGAAGACTGAAAGGGGACATGATAGCAGCATTCAAGTACCTAAAAGGCTGTTACAAGGAGGTGGGAGAAAAAAATATTCAAGAAGCAGCAGTCTTAGATTGCAGCAAGGGAGGTTTAGGTTGGACATTAGGAAAAATGTCCTGTCAGGGTGATTAAAAACTGAAATAAATTGCCTAGGGAGGTTGTGGAATCTCTGTCATGGAGATATTTAAGAGTAGGTTTGACAGACATCTGTCAGCGATGGTCTAGGTCAGGGGTGGACAATAATTTTTAATGGGGGGCAATCTAAGATTTTGGCAAATGGTCAAAGACTGCATGGAAGGGATGCAGAGTCTGGGATGGAGGTTGGGTGCGGAAGGGAGTTTGGGTAAGAGATTGGGGTGCAGGAGGGAATATGAGGGTTTAAGAGGGAGTTTGGGTGAAGGAAGGGGTTGCGACCTAGACAGGTGTTTGGGGTGCAGAGAAGTGTTCCCTCTAAGCCATGCAGCAGCACAGCTTCACAGGTGATTAATCAGCCCTTCCCGGTCAGTCAACTCCATGCGCAGAGCCCTTAGCCTCTGAAAGGATGGGGCTAATTTATTACCTGTGAAGCTGTGTTGGTGCAGGGTCCAGGAGAGGCTATGGGTGCAGGAGAGGATTCTGGCCTGGGGGAGGGGCTGTAGGGGGAGGAGCAGGGCCTTGAAGGGAGCTTTGACCTGCAGGAGATAGGGAGAGGAGGTACAGAGGATTTTGGTGGCTGGTACTTGGAGGGGAGAGAGCGGGTGGCTGAGAGGCACTTTACAATTTCTCTTAAAGGAGAGGCATTAGACAGTCTTGGAATGAACTGTATTCTAAGTTATTAAAGGGTGAAGAAAACATTAAGATTCTTGTTATTCTGGTTTGGAAACAATAAGAAAATTCGAAGACAGTCTGGAAGCCTAGCAGGCAAACATAATAAGTGGAGTCACAGGTGACTGGCAAGAGTGATGTGAATCTATAATCAAAGGTGCTTACAGTTTGCTAGAATTTAGGAACTTCCAGAGGCAGGGCATGTGAGAATGTGTTTTTACATAAATGCAGAAAAAATGTAGGATTTTTTTAAATTCAAGATTGATCTTGCCATTGAATAAACAATACTTGCTGAAGTAGAACAATAAAACATTTGATGATTTTGATGATCCTGCAAATGTCATATTTCTTATGCCATCATCTTTATCAAAATGCAGCTAATAATGATAAAAGAAGTCACTGTTGCAGGCCTTGAAGTTGCTCTGCAATATCAGATTCATTCAGGATCAATCTCCATTCACTATTGAATTCAATGAGAGTTAAGCATGCACTTAAAGTTAAGTATGCATGTCTTGTGGTTAAAATTAAGTTTTGCTGAATCTAGATCTTAATCCAGCATGGACATTTTATTCCAGACAATATGAGACAATAT